CTCTCTCTCTCTCTCTCTCTCTCACACACACACACACAGAGCAAGAATATTTTCATTACACAGAATGTCAAGATCCAAGACCAGGGGCTCATGTGAGGTTGTCCTGGAAGAAGACCTGGTAAAACTAAGGTTGCCACTTAAAAAAATGGTATAAAAAACCTGCCTTTTTAGATTTTAAATAATACCTTACCTGAGGTACTGGGATGGACTTATCCTGAGAACAATGAAAACAATGAAGAGAGGAAAAAGGAAAATTTTGACCCAGATCTAGATTGTTCTACCCTTAAAGTACTCAAAGCAGCAATACATGATTTCTCTGTCTTTCTAGAAAAAAAAAATCAGATAGTGCCAGGCAAGGTGGCACTACCTCTTGGCAGCTACTGGGGTGGCTGAGGCAGGAAGACAGCCTGAGCCAAAGAGTTCAAGCTCAGCTTGGGCAACATAGCAAGACCCCTGTTTTAAAAAGAAAGAATTTAAAATCAACAACAAAAAGACTAAAACAATTTTTAAACATTCAAATTTGGAAAATTGGAAATGCATGAAATTTCACCTGGAATCAGCTGGAGACTTAAAGACCAGTTCTGCTTATGTTAATTTAACCTAATGCAATACAAATTAAATACATTGTTCATAAAATGAATCAAAAGCATTCTAATGACCTGCATAAATCTATATAAAATGGGATTTCTGTGGTTTCCACCATCAAAAATATTTTTAAATGGGATTTTTATATACCCCATTATTTTCCTCATTAAATATCTCTGACTTTAAGCAGTTCAGTTTTCATTGTAAGAATAATTTCCCTATTGCCATTTAGTCAGAACAGGCACTATTAACGTTCATAATTATTTTTAAGCTATTGAGATTTTTACATCCAGATGCCAGAGCTAATTGAAGACAATTTTCTCTATCTGTCCACACTATCTGAAACAGTTTAAAGCTTCTCCGAAAATTTGGTAACATTCATTTTTGGCATCTTCTACAGCATATTGGCCAGTATGATTCATTCTTTCTTTGAGCACAATTAGCTATGAAAACAGATCTTAGACTCCCCCCACCCCTCCCCAAAGGATTACTGAAGGTCGGAAATGCAGGTGATTATCATAGTTTGCCTTTGATACAGACATCCTGCTCTCCTGCAGGCCCTTTGAACTAACTTTGATATGCAATAATTAAGAGGGATTCAACCCCTGGAGGAGAAGCCGCTGCAGCCCTGCCTCTTGTCTCCTTCTATCGAGTCCTTGTTTTGAACTATTGATCAAACAGATTTGAAAGGATTTGTTGAAGCCTGTGTGGGGTAAAAAGGAAGGAAGCGAAGAGAGGGAGGAGAAGGATGAGGGGGCACATCTGGCTATAAATAGTTGCAGAAAGAACCTGTTGATCAGACCTGCTCCTTCAATTTCATACACCTTCCGTAGGCAGATTTGCTTCTCTTTCAGAACAAGGTTACAGGCGACTTGTAGTTTCCAGCTTGGCAGAAGCTCTGCTGTGGGTTTGGAGCAGCCCAATTTGGGGGGACACGCAAAGTGCTGTGAACATCAAAGAGACCCGGGAAACTGAAGGATGATGCTGGTGGCCTTGCTGGGACTCAGCTGGTTCTGCTCACCCCTGGGAGCTCTGGTTCTGGACTTCAACAACATCAAGACCTCTGCGGACGTGCAAGGGGCTAGGAAGGTGAGTACACCTAGGGTGAAAGCGCTGGCACTTGGAGGTGGGTGATGGGTGTTGCATTCAGGCTTAAATAAGTTGTTCAAATTAATGTGTGAAATAGCTTATCTAAAATAAATAAATAAATAAATAGCTTATCTTAATAAATAGCTTATCTTAATGTGTGAAATAGCTTATCTGAATTGATTGTGGAATTGGGAAGGTTCCCAGGGAGAATCCAATTGCCTCAGCAGTAACTTACTAAAAGAGTCAAGTGGTTTTTCAGGACATTCAGCTCAGGGAATAAACTAACTTTTAAAAAGCTCTACCGTGTGCCAGGCTTTTATATACAACATCTCACTTAATCATCCCCACAACTTGAGAGAGATTCACATTTACAATCATAGATGAAGAAATAAGACTCAGAAATGTTGAGTAATTTAACCAAGACCACATTGCCAGTAAACATGGGGAGGGGTATAATTTAAATGCAGTAACATGATGCATTGTTATTGTCACCATCTCACTTCACAGAATTGTTTTAGGGATACATAAATACATATGTGTATGTATATGTGTACATATACAATATTCTATATTAGATATTATGTTTAGTATATCCCTGCAAATAATATATACTATACTAGATATACTGTATATACATATACTACATATACACATTATGACATATATAGTATATAGTACTATACTATATATATATTGTATATGAAAGAGCATCAACTGTGGATGAAAAAACCTGATCTATAGTATCTTTTTCTCTGTGCAAATGAATGAGGCATCACTAAAAATCAAAGAACTGTTAAATTGGGTAAGGATCATTGAGGCAATAACTGATTCACTAGAGTAAAAAATCAAATAAGAATGCTACAAATGCCAACTTTATACTTAACTGAACTGTAGCACAGCCTCTAAAGTTGAGATATAAATTAGATACTTCATAGCCATCTATAAGACAAACATAGGAAAGCATTTTCTTTCCTTTTCACAAAGAGAATGAGGAAATTAAAGTTTTGGAAAGTATGACAATTTTTCAAACATAAACAACCTTTGCAGTGCTAAAGTCTCGTTGCAGGTGATTTGATCTCCCCTTTGTGGGAGAAAACCAACTACACTGAAAAATTAGAATTCTGCCTAAGTTTTTTAAAAAAATTTTTCTTTTAGTTGTAGATGGACAAATCCTTTTATTTTATTTATTTATTTTAATGTGGTGCTGAGGATTAAACCCAGTGCCTCACACATGCGAGGCAAGCACTCTACCACTGAGTCACAACCCCAGCCCCTGCCTTTGTCACAGCATTCAAAGTGCTACTATGATTTGGCCTCCTCCATCTCCTTAAATAAAGCCATCTTACTTCTTGTTTGATTACCTAGCCTTGTGACAAGTTTTCCTTCACAGGGTTCCCAGTGCATGTCTGACAAGGACTGCAACACTAGAAAATTCTGCCTCAAGCCCCGTGATGAGAAGCCATTCTGTGCTACATGCCAAGGGTTGCGGAGGAGGTGCCAGCGAAATGCCATGTGCTGCCCAGGAACACTCTGCATGAACGGTGAGCAATCAAAAACCCAGCAGGACTGCCTTGCTTCAGTCAAGTGATTTATAAACTGAAGACAGCATTGGAATCTCATAGACTAGCAGATTCCAAGAAAGGCACTCTAAGGGCTTCCTAGTCATGCTTGAAATATATTTATACAGCTGTCTCTTCTTGATGAAACAAAATAGTTCACTTCCTGGCAAACAACTGTAGCCAGTGCCTTGGAATGATGATTTTAAAGGAAACCTTCAAGTTAGAATCATTCAAATTTTTCTATTTTTCATTTGGATTCTATTAATTATTTAACCTTCTTTGACATATGTCAGCATGTAAATATTTAGTGCATGTCCCAGATATCTAGAAAGTTATGCATAACTGGAAGACAGAAGTGATGCCAAATTGTATAACAGCATAACTAGCATGTCTGTTGTTCTGTTGAAGTTATTAACTCTAGTGCCACCTGCTTATCCCTCAGATGTCTGCACTACAATGGAAGATGCAGCCCCAATACTGGAAAGACAGACTGATGACCAAGATGGCACAGACACAAAAGGAACAACTGAGCATCCAATGGAGGAAAACAAACCCAAGAGGAAGTCAAATATTAAGAAACCACAAGGCAGTAAGGGTGAGAGAGCATCATGGAGGCATTTTTGTTTTAAGAAAAAGATCTTCTCCTTCCAGTCTCATAAGAAAAGGCTGAAACTGACTATTCTTCTCTGCCTTGGAAACAGGGAACGTGTCTTGTTTGTAATCTCTTTCTATAAGAAGTTGCAGAGAGCATGCAGGGAGCAGTATAAGGTAGTCAGTAGGCCAAGAGGACAGGAGAATGGCTGTTAACAATAGACTGGTTAGCAAGAAAACCTTTTATTGAGTTCAGTTTGACACACATACACCTTTTTTTTTTTGGTCCCAGGGATTAAACTCAGAGGTACTTTACCCACTGAGCCACATGCTCAGTCCTTCTTATTTTTTATTTTGAGACAAGGTCTCACTAAGTTCCTTAGAGATTTGCTAAATTGCTGAGGGTGACCTCTAACTTGGAATCCTTCTGCCTCAGCATCCCAAACTGCTGGGATTACAGGCATGGATCACCATGCCTGGCAAACATACAGCTTTCTTCTGCTTATATGGTAATTTAATAAGTCGTAGTTTCCCTTTCTAGATCCTGAGGATATAAAATAGAAATGAAAGTAGATGCATTAACTTTTCAGCCTTGTACAAAGTTTTTGTTTTTTTTTTTTTAAACAAAGTTATAGTCTAAATTCCTCTCTAACATAGCCAGAATGTTTGAAAGCGGTAAACTGGCCATTCTTATTTGTATCTTCAGATTAAGTAGGCCCCTTCATAAGTAAGGAAGGGTCTCTTCATACACTATAAATCCCATTTAATAAAACATTGCCAAATGTTTTTTCTAGTCTCAAGACTAGAAATCCTGTTTTCCCTTGATGAATGTTTTAACTTTATAAGACAACAATAAATGCTGAGATGGGCTGAGATTTCCGCTTCATTGTTGCTTTTAGTGTGAAAATCTAACTCTGTATGTCCTGAAGACTATTCTTATTTTTACTTTGTGGCCTTCAGTTCTAGATCTCTAATCTTGTCCCATTAGCAATTCACCTACATCCAGCTTTCCCCCACTTACCACTAAAGTTCATATCAATCTTGTTACAGGACAAGAGGGAGAAAGCTGTCTGAGAACCTTTGACTGTGGCTCTGGACTTTGCTGTGCTCGTCATTTTTGGACTAAAATTTGCAAACCAGTCCTATTAGAGGGACAAGTCTGCTCTAGAAGAGGACATAAGGATACTGCTCAGGCTCCAGAAATCTTCCAGCGCTGTGACTGTGGTCCTGGACTATTATGTCGAAGCCAAGTGACTGGCAATAGACAACATGCACGGTTAAGAATATGCCAAAAAATATAAAAAGCTGTAAACACTTCAATATGAAGAATTTTCATTGTCCTCAAGCAGATTCTCAGACATTAATTTTAAAGTGCTTCCATACAAATCTCTCTTAAAATCAAATCTTTCAGCAACAGAAGTAGACTGAAACTAGAGAACTATGAGATGATACATTGTGATGAATGGAAGCCATCTTTGGCTTTTCATCTGACATGATTCTGTAAGTTAAAAAAAAAAAAAGGGGCCAGGATTGTGGCTCAGTGGTAGAGCGCTTCTCTCGCATGGGTGGGACCCAGGTTCGATTCTCAGCACCACATAAAAGTAAAGGCATTGTGTTGTGTTTTTACATGTAAAAAATAGATATTAAAATTTTTTTAAAAAAAAGAATTCTGATCTAGTGACTCAATTAGTTCAAATAAATTTTTTTTAGAAAAGGAAATAGTATACCTTAAGGTACACAGAATGATGGTTTGATATACACTATATACATAGATGACTGATTACCATAGTCAAGCCAATTAACATGTATATCCTCTGCTGGGCGCAATGGTGCACGCCTATAATCCCAGGGACTCAGGAGGCTGAGGCACAAGGATCGTGAGTTCAAAGCCAGCCTCAGCAAAAAGTGAGGCACTAAGCAACTCAGTAAGACCATGTCTCTAAATAAAATACAAAATAGGGCGGGGGATGTGGTTCAGTGGTCAAGTGCCCAAGTTCAATCCCTGGTACCCACTCCCCCCACAAAAAAACCACATTCCCATAAATTTTTATGTAATTCCTAGTGCAGGGCTGGCACCTAACAATATCTTAGGGGAAAAATCAGTGATGGTACCTGACTAAACAAATTCTCATATCTTATTAGGGAAAATTATCAGAGCAAATACAGCAATTTTCTTTAAAAATTCTATTGTTTATTTCCCTTCATTTGTTGAAAGGGAAATTATATTTCACCACAAAATAATTTATGACAAAAAAATAAGACTCAAAGGTAATAATATCTTCTGTTTGGATAGTCCTTTGCAAGTTACAAAGCATTTCACATATTCTGTTTTCAATAACTTTCCTAACCATTTGATAACTTTTCCCATTTTATATTTATCTAATGTTTATATTTGAGAGCTAGAGCTTTCAAGAAATGTTTTTACTTATACATTTTGACTACTTATACTTCAAAGTTACTTCAGAGGAAAACTCAGGAATGAAATTTTTGTTTTTTTAAGATTAAGAGACTGTCTTATGTGCATAATAGAAGAGGACTTGCTTCAGGAAGCTCTAATGGATTCCAGTCACGTGCTACAGAATTCACTTAAGAGATAAATCATACACCTATTCTTCTGTTTAAGCCATAAGTTTGTATTACAAAAGAGAAAATCAAATTTATGAAGACCTCTAGTTTCTAAAAAAATCTTCCTCAATATGTATTTCCCTAGTAAGATATTTATAACCAAAAATAGGAGGAAAAGTAGTAATGTGGTTTATAACATAGGACAGAAAATAGAGAAAATGAAATTCCTATTCAAGACATGCTATCATCTCATTTCTACCCATACTAAAGTGTGACCGTGAACATAATATGAAATTTAAACTATACACATTTGCTAAGAAATAAGAACATCACCATCCATAGTAACAAGAGGTTTTATTGATTCTAATGCAAGCTAAGCATGGGGAAGAAATAATCACTTAAAAACACCAAAGACCCTTACATAGCAAAGGTTAAGAAATAAATTAAGACTCCTATTGGGCTATGTCTGGAAGGAAGAATAGGCCTCATTCACTTCGATCCTTGGGTTCTCGGTATTTCCACTGAATGTAATCAAAGATGTCCCTCTCACTGTCTACTGGCAGGGGTTCTCCAGCTACTCCTAGAAGTAGAGAGGGAAAAGAAATTTATTTTAAGAACCAGTTTAGCAATTTAGTTATGAGGGTTCAGGATTGAGAGCTGTGTGAGATTTGCTTTCATAATAAAAAGGAAAACCAAGCTACTAATCCTCCCCATACCAGCTTGTACTTGAGTTTTATTACATATATATTACCAATGCTACAAAAAGAACCTGAGTTTTCCAACTATTGTCACTAAAGTTACCCCAACTTGTGATTTTCCTCTCTGCTGCATCTCCATTATAGCCATCACATTATATAAAATACTCTAGTTAGTTCCTTTGCAACTCAAAATGTTTTAGTACTAGAAGCAGTGGCATTCTGTGGAAGCTTATAGAAATGCAGAACCTTGAGCTCCAAGGAATTAGAATCTGCATCCCATGAAGTCCTCAAGTAAACAGTATGCATGCTGAAATGTGAGCAGCATTGCCCTAGGAATAAAAGCCCTACTTTTTTAGGGCAAAATGGCAAAAATTCATTCTCCAGTAGGGAATAGTAAATCATACAGTATGTTGTGAAATGTTAACAAGATCTATAAAGTATAGAGTTAAGAATCCTTATTCTTTAAACTTTAAAACATAGGTTTAAAGTTTGGGAGGCATTAAGAGCAATGATATCTCAGAATTTTTGGAACCACACATCAAAACAAAAAAACTCTTTTAAACCAATATAATTTTTTAATAACTATGATGGACAGGAAGGATTTACTCTATCCTAATAGAGCTAGAAATAGTCTAGCTCTATTAGGATAAATGGTCATTACTAAGGAACTGGGAGCACATTAAGCATTCAAGCCCCCTTTGTTCTAAGGGACTAATAATACAAATACATTTGACCAGCTTTTTAGAGAAGCTAAATTTGCTAACCCCTTGAAAATAACTTTCTCTCCAGATAACATGGATCATCTCTAAGGCAATCACATATACTCACCAGTGACTCCCAAGGGGCGGATGGTGTATTCATTGATTGTGAAACCCTTTTCTAAGGCATGAGCTCTCATATTTTTATTGAAAATGTCACTCCCAGTGAAATAAAGAACCCCACAATAATATTGATCTTTGGGTATCAACCTAAAAATAAAGCAGATAAAGTTTTTATTACACTTCTCAAATTTAGCAAGCATAGAACTCCTAACTAAGCAAGGAACAAAACGCCTAAAATAAATCTTTGTGTACTAACAATCTGAAGAAAAGACTATCATTAAGTGGAACATTTAAATCACAACCTTGCAATTGTTTAGGTTTCAGTAAACTTTCCTCTGTAAGAGGTGTGGAGAAATGAAAAGCATTATCACTGAGTATAACTCACTTCCCCATGCCAGAAATTTCTTTTGAGTTATAGAAGACACTATGGTAATGTGCAAATCCACATGAAGAAAAAAAAAATCTGTACATAGTCATTATTATTTATACTTAAGGCTAAACATTATATCTGGCAAGAATATATGGTCCTTCAGAATAAAAGAGGTTTCTATACATACTTGTAAACTTTAATAAGATATACAGAGGGAAGAAAGACAGGATTCAAAAAGGAAAAAGCAAGAATGTCAGAAACAAAGTTTGGGCATACCTGATATCAATTCTTCTGTGAGGGTATTCCTTTTCATCATTTTTACTGGGAAGCTGGCAAACACCCTGAAAAGGATATTTTAAAGAATTTTTTAAAGATATTTTTAAACTTAAGGCTTAATTTTAATCAAATTTTAAATGTGAGGCTAGTTTTGCTCTTATTGGTGGCAGTTTTAGAATTCTGAGCACTTTCAACTTATTAGCTAGCTTCTCTAAGCTACATGTTATCATGAACTTCCTGTGACATTCTACGATAATTTGAGAACTACATGAATCAACAAAGGTTCTAGCCATAAGAATTTCACCTGTATATGACTCTAAACAATAAATAAATCAAGTAAAGCATCATATATGAAAGAGCACAAAACAAACAGGCAAAAGCAACTTGGGAGAAATAATGATCATGCAGAAATAAGAAAATAAACAAAAAAACTACAATAACAAAAAAAAAAAGCTATACTTTTCTCAGACAATAGAAGATATTCAACACATGAATAAGGGCAGAATACTACAGAAAAAAAAAAACCATTTCGGACTGGTTTAAATGTGATAGCAGAAGTAGAAGGGTCTGAGGAAATCTCTTAAATAATGTGAGAAAGGTAAGAAAAATTTTTAAAATATAAGAAAATCTGGGTGTAGTGGCACACATCTATAATCCCAGCTACTTAGGAGGCTGAGGCAGGAGGATCACAAGTTTGAGGCCAATCTGGGCAACTAGCAAGGCCTTATCTCAAAATGAAAAATAAAAAGGGCTGGGAGTATAGCTCAGTGGTAGAGTGTACCTAGGTTTAATCCTTAGGAGTGCAATAAATAATAAGAAAATTAGAGGATCATTTTTTTCCCCTTCTTTACAGGTGAGTGAAAACTTCTTCAGTTTCAAGCAAAAATCATCAAAGCCTATTTGGTCATTTTTTTTTCCTTTCCAGAAAAATGGGAAAATTTCTGGACTTGGCAGCAACCCATGCATATGTGAAAAAGAGCTATACACATCACCAGATTTCAAATTACAATTACCCAATACCACATTCTAAGAAAAGTAAACAAGTGACAAGCTTCTTATCCTAAATAAAAAAGTAGTCAAGTTAATACATATCACTAAAAGCTGTATTTTTTTCACTCAACAAAAGAGAAAAATTAAAATTGAAAATGGGTATTTTCTTTAGCCATTCCTATGGTTGGAAGATTAACAAAACATATTTACCTTCAAAATATGAAACCTACCTTCTTAGGCATTAACAAGTTCCAACTCAACTTCCACTTCAAATGGTCAGAAATAACTTCCATCAGAAATTACCATGAAGTATTACTTATGGGTATAAATGTCTGGATGCCATAGGCAATGATCTTGTTGTTTGTTATACCAGTGATAAGATTTCATCTAACGGCTTTGTTCCCCTTTTCAAGGCTAATTTTATTTCCTGAATTTTTTCTGAAGTGTTAATGTTAAAGAATATTTCTGTATTATTATAAATGCTTTATTAGACTTAATGGATTAGTATTGTTTGGTATTTAAATTCAATAGCTTCAATGAGTGTTTGAAATAAAGCCATTCATTTCCTCAGGGTAGTCAAGGTATCTTCTATGGTCCCCTGAATTCTTAAAGTGGATATCCTACAGAAAAATCACCCAAGGCCAAACATGCACAAAATACTAAAATTTGAATGGTACATACCTAATATGAAACTAACAGAATGTAGAGAAACTATATTTTCTTCCAAATATTATTATATTCACAGTAAGAACAGTTCAGTTGTCTAAAGACCATGATTTTACAAGATGATCTGGAATAACTCTGACTAGTTTCTAGAATTTGATTACTACTAGCTTAAAGGAATCCATGTTTTGAAGATAACTTGGCAAGCACATGGATAGACATGTCTTTTTTTTTTAAAAAAAATTATTTTTTAGTTGTAGTTGGACACAATACCTTTATTTTATTTATTTATATATGGTGCTGAGGATTGAACCCAGGGCCTCGAATGTGCTAGGCAAGCACTTTACTGCTGAGCCACAACCCCAGCCTGGATAGATATATCTTTAAAACTAGTAAATGGTTATAGCAATAAAAGGCTTTGGAATCAAGAAGATACAGGAGAATAGTTTTTTCAGCTTCATGAACTGAATTCATTTTGTAGCCAATTTCCTTTCAGAACCTAGAGACCTTCACTTCTTTGGATGTCTCTGCTACTGTCCGTCACTTAGGCTACTGCTCTGACTCCTGTCTAGCCAACTCTTTCTCTAGATAGGTATCTGCTTGACTAAGTCCTTCACCTTGAGGCTCTAAGTCAGTCTGACCTTCCTATTTAATATTGCTTCCTGCATTCCCATACCCTCCATACCTACTCCCCCATTTTTTGAGCACTATTTTAACCTAATATATTAAATAATTTACCTATTTATTATGTTCATCACTAATGATCAGTTCCTTCCATGAGTCCTAATGTAAATTCTACTTAATTAAACTCACTGATTTATTCTCAGATCCTAGAACAGTGCTTGAAACATAAGAGATTCATTCAGCAAATATATACTGTCGAATTGACTGAATACACTTTCACAGCATTTAAAATCACCACGAGGAACTTAATGAAATAATTGTGTATGCAGTAATTATATATAACATCCAATTTACCATGTTAATTTTTTAAAATCATCTTAGCCATTTTTAAGTATATAGTATTATATTTATATTGTTTTATAACCATCACCACCATCCATTTCTAGAATATTTCCCCAACTGAAACTCTGTATCTATTTAAAAATAACTGCATGTTCCCTCTCCTCAGGGACAGGCAACTGCCATTCTATTTCTATATGACATGATGTTTTATCATTCTCAATCATCTTTTTACTTTTAGATAACACTCCTGTCAAATCTATTGAGACTCACAAATTATAGTATGTCTAGGCTCTAACAGTACAGTATCTTTCCTTTAAGTCATATAACTTCATAAAAGTGGGGCATGGAGAAGAGGGGACCCAAAGAAGTCTTTAAGTGATTAGAAGAAAGTAAGCCTAAAGAAAGAAAAATCTTGATCCTACATTTTTATTGGCTTTCCTATTGGTTATTATACTGGGCCATTTATTAATCTATTTTTAATCCACTTGCCATTTGTTTTGAGTCTTTAGATTTCTAGACAGCACATCGTAACGGGCTTCACTGTGAAAATCTTTGCAAGTGTCCCCCTCTATTAGCTTCCCTGTTTATCATTTCATGTAACAACATTCTTTATATGTTATAAGACAGACCCTGATTCTTTTTCTTTCTTTGAGGTTGTAATAGATAAATACCCTTCAGTCAATTCTAACCTCACTCATTGAAGGATTTTGAGTCAGAGAACATGAGAACCATTTGTCATTTTAGGGGGAAACCTACTATGTGTCAAAGTCATTACAGATATTATGCAAAAGCAAATTATGCCTAATTACTTACTTTGACAGTATATATTATTTAGAAATGGGGAGTTTAAAAGAAAATCCATATTAGTTTGTTTGTTTTTTTCACAGTGCTAGGACCTGAACCCAGGGTCTCATGCATGCTAACAAGCACTCTACCACTGAGTTAAATCCCAGTCCCTGAAAGAAAAAAGTTCTTATCTAAAACATTGTGAGAGTAGCTATAAGAATCAGGTGTCGTATCAAGTATTTTTCTCTAAGGTCT